ATTATTAATAACAACTTTAAGTTAATACTCACCAAAGTTAAAACTTATGATAATGATCAATTTAATAATAAAATAGACCTTTTAGAATAACAACAATTCAGTGATCTCTTACATATAAATCTTAATCATCTTAAACCTAAATACTTTATTTATCATAATTCCTAGTCTATTATTACTCCTTCTCACCTATATATCAAATATAAATAACAAGCATTTTAGATTAATGTTCTTCTAGCTCTATCATAATTGTCTTCCTACTTAAATAAATATATTAAATGGCAAACCCTTTTTTATATACTAAATGACTCAAAGAATGTTTGAATAACTTCTTTTAATGCTTATAAAAAAAAAATTTAAACTCAAATTAGTTTTTGCAACTTCTTTCTATTTTAGAAATTATGAATCTTATTATTTCCATATTTACACTTTATCTATATATTTCTGTTGTAAGGCTACAACTAAAGATTTCATACATATTTGACTTTGCTTCTACAATTCTCCATCCTTATCTGATATTATTCAACAATATAAGCAAACCTTTATATTTCACCTCAAAGATTTCAACTGACCCAACAATAATGCTTCCTATAATTATGTAAATCAATTAACAGTTTAGTCTCCTATTCTCTATAATAAATATGTATGTTTTATCAATCTTTTGAAAGGAATTGTTTTTTTCTTTTTCAATGTGATCAATTCTATAACCTTCAACAAATCACTATTATTGAGTCTTCTGTCTTTTCTTTTTGATAATATCTTCTATTCAATAAATAATATTTAAAATAAAATATGTGAATCATTGCAGTTATAAAAAATTGCTAATAATATTAAAAATGATTTTATTGTAATCTGAATTTCTAATAGATTCATATATATCTCACAATTTTCATCTATCCACTTCTCCTCCTTCATAGCAGCTATTACTTATAGTACTCACTGATCAAATTTTTAGTTTAGCAGTAATCACGCTATTTCTTTCAATTATCTAATATTTGTATTTTAGTTTAATTAGTTTTTTTTCTTCTTTACTATATTATATAGGTTAGTTCAATAAAGTACAAAATTAGTATTAATAAAGTAATTTAGTTTTAAATTAATTTATAGATATTTTTGTATTTTATATTTTATTTTAATTTATTTGTAAAATTGTCTTACTTTTAAAAAAAAAACACTTTATTTTATTTAATATAAACTTTAAAAAATAATCTTATTTTAAACATAAATACTTGAACTTGTAAGAATTTTTTAAATGTAATTTTTTTTTATTTTGTAAATTTTAATTTTTATATATATTTAACAGTCAGTATGCATGTTCATTTTACAATGCCGATCATAATTAAAAAATTTTGTGTAACCTTTATCTGAAAGTCCTTTCTATGTAAAATATTTTAAGTCGTAATATTAATGCATTCAATTTTTTAATACATTTTTTGTCAGCATTTCTTCTATTTAAAAGTAGTGAAGTTTTACCTTTTCAATTTTTTTATAACATTTTATTCTATCAGCAATTCCGCCTAGTTTTTGATATTAAAACTTCAGATTCTTTTGCTATTAGTTTTTAAGCTAAAAAAAAAAGTACCAAATGTTCTTTACCTTTAATGAACCTTTTGGTAAAATCACTTTACCAAACTATATGCAATAACACTTTTTGATGAAAAATAGCTTTTATTTTTTCATATAATAAGAACAAATATATCAAAGCTGAATTTTCCTTGACAAAACACAATAAAAAATTAGCTATTTATTTTTTATTATTTCTATGATGAGATATATATTGATAGATTCGATTTTTATCCCATTCATCTTCCAATGCTTCTTTAACTTGATCTAATTGACTAGTTGGATATTCAGAACAAGTTATCAATGGTTCTAAGAACTTTTTTTCTTCAGGTTTAGTTTCACGACGAGTTTGTCTCTGCTTTTTTCTTAGTAATTCACTTTGATTTACTAAGTTTCTTGAATCGATTGGTATTTGTTGATCAGATGTTAATGTAACAGTAATTTTGAAAGATTTCTTTTTTTTTGAGTTCTGGTCATTAGGTTTCTATCTGGTAACTCCTAACTTTTTTCTTCTAACTTTATTATCTTTTTGCTTTGAAATAACATCTTGTAAAAAAATTGTTTCTATTCTTAGGATCCCATCAGAAAAACAATTACCAAGACATGCAATACCGGCAGCTGTAAACTGATTGGAGGAAGTAGTACTCCATAAAGGGTTTTGATAATGATTATAATCATCCGAATGGCAAAATGCTTTTAAAAGTTCATGTACTAGGTTCCACATAACTGTTTTACGAGTATCCATAGCTCTTTGTCCAATTGATCCACAAGGATCATTAAGATACTCTGATAATAAGATTCCTATATGATCTCATTTGCTCTGAGTAGATTTGACTTGCAATTTTAGATTATTCATATCGATTACATTTCCAGTAATATTCTGCTTTATAAATTTAACTCCAAATATTTTAAGCGTCTCATCAAATGCAAAATAATGACCTTTTCATTTTTCTTCATTATCAATTTTAATTGATGCAGCACATTTCAGTTTCTCCTCAAGTTTTGGATATTAAGCTAATATTCTAAGGTATTATATAACTAATACTGAATAATTTGATTTTCCTGCTGATGCAAATAAACCTGCAAAACAAGATAAGGTGTTTTTTTGTAATTAGTAATTTCTAACACAAATTCTAATATGATGTGCTTTGAAAATTGATGCTCATTTATAATAATAATACTATATTTGTAAAACGGTATTAGCATTACTGTTCGAATCCACAATATTATCTTTATTGAGATTTGTCTTTTTCATATCAATACAAATAGCAATAGTTACTGCATACCATATTAGTTCTAGAATATAAACTATAGAACGATAATCAACAACTTTATCTAATTTGTCTAAAAATTTAACTCCTAATGTTTTTGCTAAATCAAAAAGTCCATAGCTCAAAAACAATACAATTAGGACTCTATACATATCCTTTGAAGTATGTCATTGATCAAGAATAGGACATAAGTTTGGCTATTGTTCTCTTTGTTTAATAAGTCTTCTAAAGATTGCTTCATTAGCTATTACATCCAAATAGTCATGTGATTTTAATTCAAAATCTTCTTTATACATTTCTGTAGATTGAAATATTCCTTCATCTGAATTCGAGATTCTACCTGTTTCCAATACAACTATATTAGATATATCGGCTGAGCAACCATGGTTGACATTTTCAAGAATTTTTTGGTAAATAGTTATCATATCAAAGTTTGTGTCATAAATAATTTCTCCTTTAGAATCTGTTTGAAAATTTAAGAGATTATCAATAATCTCATCAAACATATTTCATGTGTTTTTTATTAAATCATTCATACCAAAAAGACCTGATGATGAAGTAATTTTTTTTTCATCATCTACTTTTTCTTCTAAAGAAATTGGCATTTGCATTTGAAATACCATTCTGAGTGTTGTATGTGAACTTTTACGAGTTGTATTAAATATATTTCCATAAGTAAAAGTTTTGTCTTTAAAGACTATATTATCTATAACAGCCAAATTCCATATATTTGACCCTTTTAATAATCTTTTATTTAAATTAACTTTAGCCATTCGATGTTTTTCTATTTGGGTTTCATGACCATCGGTATGATCACTTATATAAAGAGTAGATAATAGTCATCAGAATGATGAAAAAAACCGTGATTTACAAAATATACTAGCCATTACTTGAGTAAACCAAGCACCAAGATAAGGAAATGCCATGTTCTCAATAAGCGAAACAATAAATATTACACATTTGGTAATATATTCATTATCTAATTATTTTAAAGATTTGTTACACTGTTTTCGTTTTTTATTTAAAATCATTAATTTTTTTTAAAAATTTCACCGATTAATCCATCAAAAAATCCCGTTAAAAATTTTGAAAAACTTGCATGATATGCATTGAGAGAGACAGGTAATTGTATTTCTAATTTTCTTTCTGTGACTATTTTGCATGAATCCCATACTTTATTTCCTAACATTTCTCCAATTTCTTTCCATTTATTTTTTGTCCATTCTAATTTTGGATGTATAATATCAATTATACGATTTATGCTTAATAATAATTTCAAAAAAAATAATTAGGCAATTTGGATAAAATTCTAACTAAAGAACTAGTTGAATCATTAAAATTTGTAGTATTTGTATTAATAAATTCATTAGGATTTGAGTAACGTGTATTATTCTTAGGATTATAATATTCGTACTTTAAAGGAATTTTAGATGAAGTAAATAAAAATTTAAGGTTGGAACTAACATAAAAGCAAAAATTATTTTCTTTTTTTCTTCTGTTTCAGTACTAGCTATATAAGTGAACCATTGACCCAATAATTTTAAACTTTCAGATACATCATCTTTATATAACTCACGTTATTTATAAGTAGATTTTCATTTGCTAATTCCAGATCGATGATTCAAATGCCTACCATAAGATTCATAACAATTATAACAAATATATCAAACTGTTGAAACATTGTCAAAAATTAGTTTGGAAATATTTTGGCATTCATGTATTGCATTACATAAATAAAGACTAATACACAGAATTTGAATATATTTCCCTCATATTCTCCATAAATGATCTTTACACCCAGCTTCACGACTAAATAAATAAAAATTCTTAAAACATAATAAACAACGTCAGTAGCAAATTTCACTCTATTTAGGACTTCGCAATTGTTTTATATATGCATTATGATTTTTTGATCATAATTAAAATAGTTCATACATACCCTAATGATATTCCTTTTGATTCAAATCTTAATATTGCATCCTTATCAATTTGTCAGGTTCCAACTAACTGGCATATATTTCTAACATTTCCAGTTTGACCACACATTTGTAACTTATTATTTAAATAGTCAATTAGAACACATAGTGAAAAATTGGCTTTTACAGTCAGATTAGATTTATATACAGGCTTGTTCATTTCTTCAATTGGTATTAGGGGTAAAGGAACTTCTTAGTTTTTTGAATCTGCATCAAAGTCTTTTTCATTTTCATCACTTAACTGGTTCACAAATTCTCGTTCAAGTACTATTTGTGCTTTAATATAATTTTCTTCACTAAATTCAAATAATTGTAATTTAGGAAGTTTAACAAAAAATTCTGAAGTTATATCAGATTTATTATCAGATTGTTCTGAATATAAATCTTGACCATCGTTAAAATGTAAAGAGAAATGTTCCTCAAAAGTTTCTTCATTTATTACACACGTTTCTATTTCAATAAATTGAATTTTATATCAACTTCAATACTAAGATTCTTTTAAATAAGAAGAGCATTAAGCGCAAAAAAATAAAAATATTATTAACAATACATCAAATTATAGCCTGACCACTTTGTGTTATATGATACAATGCATTATTTTAGTATATTATAATTGAAAATTGTGAAAATATTATATTGTTCTATATGTATTCGAATTTTTATTATATAATGTAACTTGCAGATCTCTTAATTAAAAATGTTACACAAATGATCAGAGGACATGCATACTGATTGTTAATAATAAATTTATTAATAAAATCAAGGTAAAAGTTGGATTTTATTAGATGCATCTGAAGTATTTTTATTAGTGATTGAGATTTTGATTAGTGCAAGCTTGATGATTAGATATAAAACTATTGTAAGACAAAAGTTTGATATGTAAAAGTTTATACCATAATAATTGAAACTTTAATCAGAAAATGTAATTATATAAATATTTTAAATATTTTTAATTATCTTTTTTTATTTATTATGAATTAACTATATGTATATACAGTTCTCAGCGAAAAGAATGGCGGAAACACATTTCGACGGTATGTATAAACTTTATTTTAATGTATATTTTTTTTTTATTATTTATAAGAACAATACTAACGACAACTTTTATATGATTAATTA